CTACAGGGGCATTAAATCAGAAATCACTAACAGAAATAATAACTGGGAAGTCTAATTTTTGGAAACTAATTCACAGATTTTTGTGGGTGAAAACCAAAGTACTAGAGAAATTAATGTATTTTGAAGTAAGTAAAAAGGAAAACCCAAAAAACTTGTGGGATGCCATGAAAATAGTGTTAAAAGGGAAATTTATGGCCCTCTGTATCTATATGAGAAAGAAGAAAAGCCTCAAATTAGAGGAAGAAAACCAAAGGCAATCAAAAGCTAGTTTTTTGGAGAAAATATGGAAAAAATGATACATCTCTTCCTAGACTTACAGGAAAATGAAAGAAATAATACATTACCAATATACACTACAAGTATGATGAGAGTTAAGGAACAACTTTATGCCAATAAATACGTGACAGCACAGATGAAAGGGACAAATTCCCTGAAAGACCTAAAGTCATAAAACTTACTGGAGAAGAAGTAACCCCAATTGCTCCCTATCTGAAAGAAATTAAATAATTTAAAAATTACCTGTCAGAACTGGAAGTCCAATTTGCTTTACTGGTGAATTCTGCCAAGTGATTAAGGAAGAAATAACGGCAGTTCTATAACAAACTCTTCAAAAAAGTGAAAGATGATAAATCATCTTTATTGTTGAAGGAAAAACTCTGACAAAATCCAGTAGTCAGCTGGGCGTGGTGGCGCACACCTATAATCCCAGCACTCCGGAGGCTAGGCAGGAGAATCATTGAGTTTGAGGCCAGCCTGGGCTACAAAGTGAGCTCAAGGCCAGCCTGAACTGCACAGCGAGACCCTGTCTCAAAAAGAGAGAGGGTCCCCCCCGCAAAAAAAAGATCCAGTACTTATGCATATACAAACTCTCTAAGGAATTTGCTAATAAACATTTGCCAAATACTGTAACCCTAATGTGAAAGTGAATGCCTTCCCCCTAAAATCAAGAATAAAGGGAGGATGTCCACTTACTTCCTTTCAATGCTATAACAAGTTCCTACTATGTGCAGTAAGGCAAGCTAAGGAAGGCGTACAGACTGGATGGTGTACACAGAAAAATCATAAAGATCTCCAAAAGGTTAGTGGAACCAACAAAGACAATGGGGGAAAATACTTTGTGTATAAATTGCTAGCATCCAGATCCTGCCTTCACAGTATCACCACTTGGGAAAATTTCAAAAGAATTTCTGCCATGGAATTGTGAGTTTCTCCAGTAAATGATCAGCAATTATGAGACTCTTAGTAGGATTTGTCATGATTTAATAAGTGCTAGCTGTGACCAAGGGAGATTCTTACAAAGTGAGAAATAGACTGAGACTATACCCAACCTATAATAAATATTCACACTACCAGGACAAAAGAATCATCACGTGTCACACAGGTTAATTAAGATGACTCAGTGTTACTGTTGCTGTAAGATCAATTTCAGTGGATTGGTATACTTGTTCAAAAATCAATTACAGTAGTATTGATTGTGGCACTGAATATTGGGTGGGAATAATATATCAGTGGGGATAAGCCTATGATAGAGATGTACTGTAAACTATAACTTTGACAGACCCATATAGGCTGATATGAGCAGACAGACAGCTTTGACTATACAGATATTCCAAACAGAACATAAATATATCTTTCTTGCTTCAGCACTAAGTATTGAACCCAGGACCCTCACACTTAGCCAGACGTTGTCCAGGCTTGCTTTGAACTCACGTTCCTCCTGCCTCAGCCTCCTGAGTAGCTAGGATTAAAGATAGGCCTGGCTACTCCCACTTTTGTTTTCAATCCAATCAAAATAGTATTAGCAGAAGAATACATACAAATCAACCTTTGTTCAGTAGAAGAATAATATTAGTATGTGTCTTTAGGGATTGTGGCTAGAGTCCAGGCATGTGCTATATGACTTTTTTTTTTTGGAATAGGAATTTATGACTGTTTAAGCTGTTATATCTATACTATTTAAATATTGCAAAATATTGTATATCTGTATACACATAATAAACACCCCAATGTGCTTATGTATTAAATATTGATGTATATTAAAGGTATCTAATTATAGACTGAATATTAACATGTTATATAATGTGTTATATACAGTTAACATTTATACAATTAATGTATTCATAGTGAATAATACAAGGAATGTTCAGGTTGAGAGACTAGAGAGACAGCAAATGCAGACCCAACTTTTAGCAAGGCAAAGTAGAAAAGAATGAGTCAAAGAAGTTTTGTTTTTATGGTGTTGGGGATTAGATCCAAGACCTCATGCATGCTACACCAGGGCTCTACCACTGAGCTACATCCCCAGTGAAAACTTTTTTTTTTTGTCTTTTTGAGACAGGGTCTCGCTATGCAGTTCAGGCTGGCCTTGAGCTCACGCTGGTCTGGAACTTGCAAAGACCCTCCTGCCTCAGCCTCCCGAGTGCTGGGATTATAGCCGTGTGCCACCATGCCTGGCATGAGCAGCTTTCTTACACAGTTAAGATGAGTGAAGGTCCAGATACTGACAAAAACAAACACTGGCAATTTACTTAAAACCCAAGAGTTGTTTACTATTTCAAAGTAAAGAATAAAAATGACAAAGGGAATAAAATGTCTAGGGTATGCTAAAAATAATTTAGGGGATGGGAAGTCAATGGGTTATATAAGTCAGTCAGACTCCCACAATTGTGGAGTGATGAACATATGGATTTATTATACCTGATTCTCTACCTAAGTCTGAAATTTCCTAACTAAATATATGTAAATATTCTTTTTGTGAGGAAGCACATGAAATCAAAATTTTAACCAACAAGCTGTAAGAAAATGGAAGAAGACGTTTGGGACTCTGAAGAAAATGTGATGCTCAATGCCCCGAGGAGCTCTGTGGCTTGCATTCTGGCAGAGGCTTTCTCTACTGGGGTTCCGTGTGTGAGCCATAGAACTGGGAAAATAACCTGAGTAACTTTTCTCAGTTCTCCCAGGGATAACATATAACTAGCTGGTACCAATTTATTACCTACTGTGGATGTGTTAGCAAATTAAGGCATATTTCTGGATGAAATGCTGGTTGAGAAGGGCTGCTAAAAACACCAGTAACACTAGTCTAAATAAAAGGGCATAATACTAAAAAATCATGCAGTTTTAAAGAAAGGAAGATGGACACGTTATCTAAATGATTAATTATAGCATGGCAGTGTGATGTGGTATAGCTTTTATAAAAATACCTACCAGTATATGAACCCATACACTGTAGAAATGTGTGTATCAAAGTCACCTTTGAAGCTTGTTAAGCTGGTAAATACTCTGGCCCTACCCAGACAGTCATCATTCGCAGCCATCTGAGATATGCAGAACTGTGTCACTGTTTCTCTGTAAAGGTGTTTGGGTAAACTGATAAACTCATTTGAGATTCTTTAATACATACTGTGCTGTGTGCATTAGCATTTTAAAGTTTTTATATCTATTTTCTCCCCACCACAGAGACTGAGAGAAATTAACAGTATGATACGGACAGGAGAAACTCCAACTAAAAAGAGAGGGATTATTTTGGAAGATGGAAGTGAATCACCTGCAAAAAGAATTTGTCCTGAAAATCATTCTGCCTTATTACGCCGTCTCCAAGACGTAGCTAATGACCGAGGTTCCCACTGAGGTTAGTTTCTGGTATTGAAACTGTCTTTTCACAAACTGATTAGCAGCATCATTTAATGCATGCTACATTATGGAGCCCCTTTCCTTAATCCAGCCAGTTAATTAGAGCCTGTTAGAAACAGGAAGAGACTTTTTTATGGGTACTTACTCCTTCCAGTATCCTTAGGATATTTTTATTCACCTCAACTGCCTTTTCCTCTACCATGTAATGCTTACCATCAACACTGCTCAGAACCCCTGGTTTCTTAACTCTTTGGCAAAGCTTTTATAAGTATTGTAGAGAACAAAATGTATTCAAATATGAGGTCTCTTGACATGTTCCAGCAGAGGAACTGTATTTCACATTCATTCCTACCCGTCCATGGCCAGCTCCAGCTGTTAATGGAAAGCAAAGCAAAACTTAGGAATTTTGTCCTAAAACACTTGGAGTATGAGTTTTTTGCTTTCACAAAATAGAAGCAAGGAGAGAGCGCTGATTTGGAGGTCCAAGTCACTAGCCTCTCCTCTATTCCCCTGTGCACTTCTTCCCTTCCCCAGTAGGTGTGGTGTGGTGTGAAAAGTGCTGATCCTTCAGTTGTGCAATGTCTGAATGAACACGTGTAAGTGGCGGCACTTTAGGCTGTAAAATGCATGATTTTGTAACCCAGATTTTGCTGTATATTTGTGACGGCACTTTCTACAATGTGAAGTTTACTAAGTACAAAACTTCTAGGCTAAACAACCAATATTTTCTTTAATGCTTTTGTACTTTTTAAAAACTGTTACTGCCCTGGTAGCCACCCTCTGGGCTTGTGTTTTAAACTCTCCAGTTTTTGTTGTTGTTACATAGGAATCAGCTGGCAAAGAAAAGAATGTTAAATCAGGTTGAATTTAGGGAATTAATATGAAAAATTATGACCTCCTTAGGAGGTATAAAAAAGATATGTGAAGTATCTTTGGGTGTGTTCCTGGCAGTTTAAAAAATAGGTGGGAGAATTTAGGTCTTTATTAGTACATAGTACCATTTATATAAATTAGAAAATGTTATTTAACAGCTATTGAATTATCTATACATACCTTTATTAATCACTATTGTTCCAGCAGTTTTAAAATTGAATTAATCTTACTAGGGAGAAAATTCAACTGTAAATTGAATCAGTATAAACAAAGTTACTAGGTAACTTCATATTGCTCTAAAAGAAACATGGAACTTACACTATCAATTAGAATAGTGTTCTGCAAAAATATTTATAAAACCTCTCGAGATACCGCTACTGTAATTTTATATGAAAATAAATGTATTTTTCAATAAATCATTTATAAATTAGTCTTTGTTTAGTAATATTGAGAAATGGTATTTAGTTTCCTGCATACATAGATGACAAAGAACAATCATTTATTCGTTTATTTTGTCTCTACTAAACACATTAGTCATTCGTCGTTTAAATATCTGACTTCATTAGAAACCGTTTTAACACTTTTTCCTCCCTCCTGCCATAAAAATACAGTAAGTAATTTGCTTTAAAAAAACACTATGAACAAGCATTCTGGTTTCCTCTCACTCTTGTTTCTAGAGACAGCAGTTTGTAGATCCGTTAGACAGTAGGCTGGAGACTGGGATTCAAACAATCTTCCACTTCAAAGTGCTAAGCTCTGGAATCTGCTCTCTCTATATAGACCTGTCCTTGTCATATCCTACCATACGTACAACTGAAACCACAGATTTAAAACTATTAAATAGTGCTGATTTTGGTCTGCTCTATTAGTTTAAGTGAATGCAACTTACCTTTAGCATTATATTCAGAAAAATACTTAAGCCTCAAGATCCCCAATAATTTGGAGTATTGATCTAGACAACCACCCTAAGACACTTCCGACAGAAGTAATGCATTACTTAAAGAGAGGTTTCTGAACCCTGCTGTTAGAACCTACACATACATGGGAAACACGGTAACCAGTCACTGTTCACATCGTTTACTCTTCAGGCAGCTCTTCGCCGTCAGTCAGCTTTGACTAGGCCAGAGTCCAGCAGGAAAGTGCATGGTGCACCAGATTCATCATCCCTTAAGTTGCTACTGTTTTTTCTTCTTTACTGAAAGGCTGTACTGAGCCAGGCTTTACCCATGACAGGCCAGCAACATGAACACTTTTATTGTGCTGTTCTTCAGGCTTCTAGGCATAATCCAAACAGACATTTAAAAAAAAAAAAAAAAAAAAAAAAAAAGATGAAGAGAGATCAGCACTGTATAGACGTGTTTCCCAAAAACTTACTTGTATATAACAAGTGGGCTCCATGAAGACACTGTAGAAAAGAGATAATGAGTTAAACATTTCAAAGATGGCTGCCTACTTACTTTCTGAGTCAGCATCTTCTCTCTGGCTTCGTCATGTACAGAAGGATTCCATGGAGAAAAGCTTAAGAGACAGAAAAACATTTAAAAGTTTGTGGCATTCTGAATCTGTATAACCTCTGTTACATAATAATTAAGCCAATTCTAATAAAACTTAAACAAGGAAGAATTTTAAGAGTGATCTTAAATCAGTTGGCAATATGTATGTTTTAAACATTATCTAAATTATTTTCTCACGTTTTAACTATCCCTTATACATTTAAGCCTGAAATACTATTATTTAAAGATGACAAAATCAAGGCAGAGTAAATTTAAATAACTGCTCTGCACCACCAAAGCTAAAAAGTACAAAAGCCAACTAATTCACCTGCTGGTCCCACACTCTTAATTATACCACGCTGCCCTCGGCAGTACTCATGTCATCACAGAGCTAAATCACCAATTCCTTAGTCCTCCAGCTCCTCCAGATGCTCTTCCCCATGATCAAGTATCAAGCGCTATAAGACCCACTGGTCTCACACTACTCAGTTTCTCTCCTCTTACGCATCTGAATGTCAACAGGACATGGCAGTTTAAGGGGTTAGCAGCTAAAGCTGCCAAGTGAAAAGTCCTCACATCTGGATGAATGACCATGTTACAAGGATCCTTAGGAAGCCAAAGTCACTAAATGTCCTGCTGTTGGTACAGTGTGTAGACACTGTAAAGCTGTTCCTCAAGAGCAATAAGAAACTGAGCTGATACCTGATACCAAGATACAAAGGCTATAGGCTAACAGACTGTACACATTTAAAATCCTCATTCTAAGGCTGCGTGGAAAATGGAAATCCATACTGCCAATGACAATTCATCTACACAGTGCACCACTTACCTAATTGCATAGGGGTCTTCTATTTTAGGCTGTTCAAACAAACGCGAAGTGCACACCTTAACACTGTCGACCACTTTGCTTTTAAAAAGGTGAACATCTTTTTCATACCTGTGTTAAAAGTTTAAATCAAAGTTACCAACTTAATCTACTATGGTATATTTCAAAATTTATCTAAACAAAGTGAAAGTTACATACAGTACTGCAGCCTCTGGATTTAAGGGGCTTGCTGTATCAATCTTGTAGAAAACCCTCCTTGCATACATTAGTACTTGCCAAATATGATTGTGGTTCCGCCTGAAAGGAGACATGCATGAGTACTGAGGCTGTTCCTGCCGTCCTATGTCGCGAGAAGCAGTGCTGATTTACTAACCTCCATTTTGCAAATGCTCTCTTCACATCCAGTTCACCCGAAGTGGGATCAACTAGCGGGTGGAAGACGGGAATGTCGAACACCAAGCGCTATATTTGAAGAAAGACATGTACTTTAAAAGGAGCAGTGGAACTTATTTAGTCCCCTAGAGACAGTCACAAAAGGAACTTCAGGACAACACTGCACTCATGTTGTCTGGTTACAGAACTGCCACAAGATGGCTACTTAGCTACTTTTATAATTTTCCTGTAAGTCTGAATTTTTCACTCTGCTCTACTACAACACACCAATCACCATTCACACAGGAAGTGCTGCACTGGAGCTTCCAGCCTCACCTGCACACCCTGAGCAGAGAAAAGAATGAAGCTACAGGTAGAGGGCGGCATGACAGAAACAACGAAACATGAAACACGAGTCCCTGGAAAGACTATTGGGAAGACAAGTGTTTTAGGAAACCAAAACTATTACACTTACTAGGTCAGGAAAAGAAAACATCTGTAAGCACTTTAATTTCCCCTCAGTGAAGGAAGCACCACAAACGAAATCAGACAGTGTCTCCTACTTACTGGACAGTCACCATCTGGATAGTTATCAGGGATGTAAACTGTAAACTTGAACACGCCATCCTGATAAAGCCCATGCCGTATGAATATTACTCCAAACCACACTGCAGGAAAAACATAAAGGTGATTAAGGCCTCAGTTTGTGCAAGAGGAGCTGAATATGCCACTAATTATGATGGAACCCTTATCTTACTTAATGCAGAGCGGTAAGACGGCTGCACATAGACTCCTGGTAACTTCTGCTTCACAACCAAGGTACTAAAACAAAAACAGTATAGTCATTAACTTGTACTGATGTAAGAGACACACACAGACCAAACCATCCCACATTCACTTTCTGAGACAAGGAATCACCCCTCCCTGGGCAGCCAATGCCCAAACCAGTAAGCAGAGGCATCAGTCTCTCACCTGACCCGATTCTAAGCATCAGCCTCTTATTTACTGGCTTCCTAACAATTCTCACAGAGAAATGCACAAGCCAACCAAGACCCCACATTAAGAAAGACAGACAAGAATACACAAAGAATCAAACAGTAAAATGCACAGAACTCATACTCAAAACATCATCTTGGAAAGTAGTCTGCAGGTAGTTCTGAACAATGCAACCTAGTGTAAGTATAAGACATAAATTTGAAGGAAATGAGAATGTGTAAAATAATGGCTTTTGTGGCTGTAGATGGTAGATCTCACATACACACATTCAAAAACTATTTTTACTATTTTACTAATGTGCAGTGGCACATTAATCCCACCACTGAGAGGGTGGGGCAAGAGGATAGGAAGATCCCAAATTCATAGCCAGGCAGGGTTACATAGTGAGTTCCAGGTTAGCCTGGTTTACAGGTTAATCTGCTCTATGAGACCCTCTCTTGCTAAAGAAAAAAAATAAAAAAAAGATGGACACAGTGGCAGGAGATCTCAAGTTCAAGTCCTGCCTGGGCAACTTTTTTCCCTCAAAATAAGGGGGCTGAGAACAGCTCAGTGGCAAAGCACTCATGGGTTTGATCCCCAGTACCATGAAAAATAAATAAAATAAAAATGTCCTGAGCTTCAGTAAATGAAGCTACTAATGTTAACAAATAAAGTGCATTATAATAAATTTGAAATAAAGTTTGAAAACTTTTTTTTTTGTTTTTTTTTAATGGTACCGGGAATCGAACTCACGACCTCAAGCTTGCCAGGCCAGTGCTATGCCGCTGCGCTAAATCCCCAGCCCCAGTTTGAAAACTTTTAAAACACAATTTTAGGTAATTATAAGAAGATTCCAGGAACACCATCACTCAGTTGTCGTTTTTAGTTTGAGTCAGCAGATCATGTGGCAGAGGGCAGCGTTCAGATGTGAAAGGCAGGCGGCCTCGTGAGCTCTACACTATGTACCCTGGCCCCAGATAACACCCCAGCTCAGACACTTGAACCCTGTGGACCTTGCTAGGTAGTAGAAAAGAATAAGTGCTGAAAATAAGGACCGACAAGTAGACTGACACGAAGGCTTCACTGGTTTTCCTGGACCCTGGTGACCCATCAGCAGCCATTCTGCTCTGTTCTTTGCAACTATGTTTACAAGCGATCATGCAACCTTGAAAAGAACAATTCTCAGGCCTTAACACATTCACCTGCCAATCTTGAAATGTACTGGGAAGTAATTTACTGGGCCCTAGTCCATTGTTTTTATTACCTAATTGCCATCACATTTACTTTTAACCATTTTCTAAATTACCCATTTCATCTTTAAGTCACTAAAACTTAGCACATCAATAGCAGCATGACTGATGACGTGTCTACCACAATGAGTTGTTCCAGAAAAGGCAATTTTGTGTTTGAATACACAGCAGGTTTAATCACCACAATAGGAGCCTGTCCAACACACAGTCCAGCCTCAATCACAAGGCTGTCGTTACAAAGCCCAAAGGGCCATGGCTACAGAAGCACACCGAGCCCAGGGGCCTCAGACCGTCCGACTGTTACCACGTTAGTATGCTGAGGAAAGAACTAAGGGTGCTTTTAAAATAAGTACATATTCAGAGGAATTTTAAAATGATGGAAATCGGGACTTGTCCAAATTTTCTATCCTTTTAACAAATTATCAAAACAAATGCCATCTGAATCCACGTGCTAGTTTAGTCCCTTTATATGCCAAGCACTGTGTCATCACCACCAGCACTCTGCACACACATAAAACTTCATGACAAGGGCAGACTTAAGTGATTAATCAAATTCTTACCTATGTGGATTTGGAGCCCAAATCTTCTAACTCCTTATAATTGCCAAGCCTGCCTTTAGGGGGTGATGTCATACGAAATACGTCAAATCCCTTCTAATAACAGACCTTCAACTCTATGAAGACGGCTGTAACAAGCACTTCTTGAGTTTACTCTTCCCTAAGCCAGCCGTTCCAGTTCCTTCATTTGCTGATTACTAAAGTCTTCTGGGTCCCTACCAGGACCAGTCTGTCAGGATGCCTCCTTCAGGGTGATCACCAAATTGGAATACAATTTCAAATGGCTCTGACCCAAGAGAGAAAAGACTGCCACTGCCCACCCTCCACAGAAACCTCTTAAGGCCAGGTATGGTAGTACATGCCGGTAATCCCAGCTGCTCAGGAGGTTGAGGCAGAAAGAACAGCAAGCTTGAGGCCAGCTGGGGGCAACTTAGACCCTGTCTCAAAATAACAAATCAAAAAAGCTGAAGATGTAGCTTAGTACCTCTGGGTTCAACTTCCGGTACCACACACACAAAAGCAGTTACCAAGTTCCTGATGACTCTTAAGTTCTTTATAAATCTTAGTTTCTTGCTCTCTAAGAGAGTAAAATGGGATAGATTTGAGCTTTAAGATTAATTTGCTAGTTTATTAGAATAAATTTCATTTTCCTCAACTATCATTCATAACTGCATCAAGTAGACCGGTAAGAACTTACAATTCCGCGAGCAGAGAGTATTCCAGGTAGAAGGGCCCGTAAGAAGCATGTGTGCCGTTTGTTGGCTGTGCTGCTGGGGCAGGAGACGTAGGCTTAGTTATGGGTAAAGCATTTTTGGGAATAGAAGGCAGCTGTTTTTTTGGTGCAGTTCGTGGAGGGCTGGTTTTCACATCCCCTGCTAATGTCTTCTCTTCGCCATCAGAACGCTATTCAAGATGAAGTTGTGAGAATATATTAGGATGAGGCTTGAACCACAAGATTACAGTATTAGCTCCATGACCTAAAAGTTAGAATTACGCTTTTACATGGATATTCTAACATCATGATCAAGGTGACTTTAAAGTCTTTCCAGTAGACAGGTCATAAAAAACTTACTAGCGGACGAGGCTGAAGCAAGAGTACAGCACTAGAAAACTGTCAGTAGACGCATCCTAGTAGGACAACACAGTCAGTATTTACAGGATTAAATGAAACAAAGGAATGGCTTCTCCTGATGGCCTCAAGAAGAGGCCAGGCATTACTAAGCCGTTCGACAACGGAAGAAAACAAGAAAACTCCTTTTGTACTCTGGGAGGATGAGCACTAAGATGCTGTGGAAGGGCAGGCGCTGGGCACAGTTCTAAGAAAACACTGTGGGTGACTGCAGTGAGTCATTCCCTGATGTCAGTGCCGGGATACAAACAAGGACTGAAGCTATTCTCATTTGCTGGGGTCTGATTTTGATCTTGTCCCTAAAGGATGTCTCCATATTTGGGTAACGTCAGCACAAATTGTCATCCTTAGTCCAAGAAAAAGTCAAAATGAGCCAGAAAACTAACCTACCAGTACTTCCTTGGCTTGAGTACAGCCTACTTATAGGCTACATAAAAATGTATAGAGAAAAGTAATCACTGTCTTCTCTGGCAGGTAGAATTATGGGTTACTTTTATTAGTGTGTGCACAGTTTTAAAGCTTCCCTAAGATGAAAGTGCATTTTTAAGGAAATTTCACTTAGAACAATTAAATTAGTGCCCCTCAAGTCTGAGTTGACTATAGCTTTCTCTAACGACTGAATCTTGAAGTTTAACAAAAACTACTGCAATAATGTATCACTAACTGAATTATATGTAAATATAATCTAAATAAAGATAATCTTAGAATTGTGATAATCAGAATGCTTTCTATTTGCCATGCAGTCTCAGCCTCAGAAACTGACCTTAATGGACAAAATATTTCTCGAAAATCTAAACTAGAGAAGCCAATTTTATTAAGATTATAGGTAAGCTTGGTATAGATTTTTTGTTTTTTGTTTGTTTCGGTTCTGGGGATTAAACCTAGGGCTTTCACACCTAACAACATCCCCAGCCCCTTTTATTTGTTGAGACAGGGCCTCACTCAATTGCCCAAGCTGGGCTCAAACCTGTGATCCTCTTGCCTTAGCCTCCTAGAGAACTAGAGTTACAGGTGTGTGCTATCATGCCTAGCTGGTATCTACTGTTTTAGCCTTCAGTCTGACCCTGTTTTCTGATCAAGAAGCAAACAAGTTTTCTCGTATTTACTGGTTATACCTACTTTGCGTACAGAGCTTGTAGACATGCTCCAGAAAGGGTTCATAACGTGTCCTCCGAACAAAGAAACTCAGTAGACCCTGTCATCCGACTCTTCTGTCCTCAGCATTCACCTTACCTTAAAACAAGATACAAAACACAAACACACCAACACCAGTTAAGACTTCTGAAATGGCTAGAAACGAAATCTAATATTCCGAAGATACAGCACAATATTATATCATAGCTATAAAAGCCTAGAATGTGTCTTCAGGCAGCTTCAGAAATAATTTCCTTCTATACTCACTTCCTCTTAAGGCTCCAGTTTCTTTGGCACCTTTAGATGTCTGCAAGAGTCTGTGCACCAGTCCCTGGCGAGAACTCAGAATATCTGGTGACACAGTTCGGCTTTAGTGCCCAAAATTCTGAAGATACAGACCACAGTAGCTGCTACTAGCTTAATATCCAGGTGTTTAACTAATGGGAAACCCAGATTCAGAATGTACTGTCCTCCTCTATGCAAATGTTCTGTCATTGTTCCTGTGGTCATGAAAAGGAACAATGATAAAGTTCTAGGGTGGCTGATTTAAGAGTGTCTTAAATGAGTTGTCTCAAGCACAAATAGATTCACTGTAGCAAAAACTTATTTGCCAGAGGAATAAGAAAAAAGGAAAGCATATCTATGTCAGAAAGAAGAGAAGGAGAATAAACTGCTAAAAATATGGCAGTTCTGCAGGCCTCGGCTTTTAAAGGACTGCCAGCTGATACAAACACAAGAGTGCAAAAAGAGACATTTCACAAACACAGATGTACGCAAGGCTTCACGCCGTGGATAAGAAAACATGTTTCAAAGGTCACAAAGGCAGTGGGTCATTTACTAAAATATAAAAACGCAAAGGAAACAGCAGCCAAACCCAGCTGTAAGAAAAGCAGCTCCGCTTTGGTGCCTGCACTCCAGCTCAGCTGTGTTTTCAGCAGAGCGGGGCAGTCAAGATGCTGAAAGGGAAAAGGGTCAAAACTAAGCAACATTTTTCTAAATTCTTAAGGATCAAATCATGTATCAAATGTCCCTCATCAGCAGCCGTTTGTTTTCTTTCCGATTTGTGTGTGACATCACCAATGAATACCAGGGCCATCACACCCAGCCAGTGCCTATTACTGCTGTTTCGTTTTGCAGAAGATAATGCCACCCATTAATTAAAATAGATTGAGAAGGTAAGGATACGAGTTCTTCCACAAACACGCTGACTTACATCCAATAACTAGCAACAGCTCTCTGCAAATCTGCCTTTAAAAGTGACAATGACACATGAAAATAGCTGAGACATCAAAAATGTGGGGGAGCACGTTCCCGTTTGGCCCAGTATGACTGGGCCAAAATCAACAACAGTGGTTTACTTCACTGTCTTTCAGGGCATACCTGATTTAACGGGGGAACCCCCCACACTTGGGGATACAGTGGTGCTTTTACATGTTCTGCGGTGAAGCAACTACCTGTAAAGTCCCTTTCAAGTCTGCTACATTATTCTATGATTTTTGCTTTTAAGAATTTAATAAAACTTTTTCCCCCGTTCCTCCTATCTTTAAGAAGAGGTATTGTTTCCTGCTGCCTGGCGTCACGATGGATTTAACCCAGCAGCACAACCAAGAACAACGGGCAAATTGAAGCTCACTTTCCAGACGTCAAGCACACCATTCATTAGATGCCTGAACTGCGACACGCACGATATGACACGGTCCGATAGGAATGATATAGATGAAAATCGCAGGCGACATCCTTGTAATTTGTAAACACTTTCAGAATTTCTGTTGGATAGGCTCGGAGAACAAAACATGATCAGATAGCTGAGAAGTCAGCCTCCGGGGCCTGTGCGAAAGATCTCATGGCACAGCCCAAATAGAAGCCGGTGCTGCTGTTCCTCCTAGGTGCCTTAGTGCCTCCGCTGGTGCTAGCTTAACATATCACGTCAAGAGGCGACAGGGCAGGCCCCGGAGAAAAGACGACAGCCCCGGCCCCGGACAGGCTCGCCGGGCACGGCCGTGACTGGCAGCAGGCTGGGACCGGCACCCTCGCCCGGGGCAGAAACCGGGCTCGAGCACGCAGGGAATCTGGACAAACCTGTCTCGAGGTGATGCTAGGTAGGCCTGGCCCAGCCGTGCAGGTGTCTCGGGGCCGACCAGAGCCGCGAGCCTCTCCGGAGCGGGCCGAGACCCTCGAGCTCCGCGACGTCGCCCCTCAGCTAGGGCTTGTGCGGAGGCCGGTGCAGCGATCTGGCAGGGCGGGCCCCGCAGGGCCGAACTGGCTGTGCCCGCCTCCTCCCTCAAGCCCGCCCGGTCCAGCTCCAGCAGCAGCCCCGGACCAAAGCCTGCGGGCCAAGACCGCCGCGCAGCAGGTGCCTGCAAACGCGCACAGGTGCCGGCCCCGCCCCCGTGTCCCAGCCCGGCCGCCGTCGCCGTGGAGTAGAGAGCGCCGGGGACGGCACACACACGCCGTGCCCGAGGACACTGGCAGCCCGGGCCAATGGACTCCTCAGTCCTCGCGTACCTACAAGCCGACTGGGCAGTGCGCCTTATCCCGGTGTCTTCAATGCAGACCTCCCGGCTGCCCAGCGCCGTCGCGGTCAGACAGCATCTCTAGCAGTAGCGCCAGCCCGGCCCCTGCCCGTGTCCCGCCCCGCCCTGCCCAGCCCTCAGCGTGGGGCTCCACCCCCTACCCACGCCTCTGGATCCAGACGCTTCCGCCCAACCTCCCGGCGCCAAGTGGCTTTCACACCTGTCCATCAAAGACGTTCTTCCGGCGATACCAGGGCTTCCTGCCAATCAAATCGGTTTCGCTCGGGTGGGCCCGCACTTAACCCTCCTCTTACGTAACTGCGCCCGGGGCGAACATTCAGTCTAGGAAGTGTGTCGGCCCCTAGGGAGAACCGGGCGGAAACAAACAAGCCCCGGGAAACAGTTGGCCACTGCGCTCATGGGTCACGATGGAGACTCACTCAGATTCTGCGGACAAGCATCGGCCACCACCTTTCAGGGTCTGTGACAGCAGGTTGTCGTGACAGCGGGCGAGGCTGGTCTCCAGCCCCACACCTTTCCCCGCCCCGCGGCGCCGAGTTGAGCCCACCGGGGTCCCCATGGCCGCACCGGAGGGGCTGGGGCCGCCGTCGGCCGGAAGGACGCTTTCCGTAAGGCGGAGAAACGCTCGAGGCCGCCTCCGAGGCGGGGGAGCTGACTAAGGGCTGCGGAGCTAAATTGTCATCCGCGGGCACGAAAGCGGCCAGGAAGCTTTTAAAAATAAACGTGTTGGCCCAGTCTGTAGAAGTCGATGGGGGCGGGCGGGAGGCGTACCAGGAACTGCTGTTGTCACCCCCGGTGGTTGTGCCGCGCGCCGAAGTTTGAGACCCTCTCCCTAGGCGACGGGCTCCTGGGCTGCTCCGGCCACGCACAAGCTTGCGCTGCGATCAGAGATACACCTTCACCACTTGTGACTTCGACGGCTCAGAAGCTCCCACTTAGCCTAGCCTAGCACGGGAGACACACGATTCTGGCAGCCTTCCCCTTGTCTCATCGGCCTAACACAGTAAACAGTGCCACTGGTTTTAATACGTGCAGGACTTGTTACAATGGTCCCTCCCCATGGGACGTCCCTCCAGTCCCTGACATCACAATCCTGAACACCCCTAGCCACCCTGCACCCGTTTCCACACCTTCCCTGAACACCGGTGGAGGTGACTTGGGTTTCACTCGGAAGATATATTTGGTGACCAGTTTATTCTGCTCTCGGTTGCCTCTGAGATTCTGGTAAAGGATTTACTTATTAAATGGCAGGAAGCCAGGCTTTCCTGATGTGAATCCCAGGGGCTGGTGCTGAAATCCAACTTCCTCCCTCGGCTAAAAACGGCTCCAGTTTGCACACACTTAGGAATGCCTTAATGCCCTTTATTGGTCTTAATAGAAAAGGAAGGCAAGCCAGAGCCCTTTTTCTGTGGCCACAGGAGAGAAAAACAGTTTCCTTTGGCAGCTCTTGGGCTCACTTCCTCCAACCTCCGCTGCAGGCTCGCCATTCTCAAAGTTTTTCCTAATCTCATCCCTTCCCCAACTTCAGTTTTTACCAAAGAGTCACATATTTTTCCAGCTCAGACCTTTCCACTGAGCTTGGGTACACAGACCCGGCTGTCTGTTCAGCACTGGACTTCTCAGACACACACCAATATCGGGTATTCATGGCTGCGCCCTCCAGAAAGCACGCTGGTTTATACAGCGAGGAGGCAGGCTCCAGGGGTGGCGATGTGCCTCAAGCCCTGCTGCTTTCTTCGCACTGTGGAATTGCCCTTTTGGGTTGGTAGCGCATATCCAGTGACTACAGAACAAAATGTTGCCCGTAGCTCTTGTGAAGTTCAAGAATACCTTACCCAGAAGCTCCCCAGAAGAAATGCTTATATATTTCAGTGACCAGAAATGTGTCACTGGGTCTCTGCTTACAACTAACTCAGTCAAAAGCTAGGGATGTGACTCTCTCCTGATGGGCTTGGCTAATCAAGATTTACCCTGGATCCCTGGACTTCAGGCGGAGGATTTGCATTTGAAAACTTCACTTTGCGTGGAGAATAGATTGTAAGGGCACAAGAGTTCAGGCAAGAAGCAGTTATATTAGTTTGTTGACAGAGATGGGAACTTAATGAATTACAGAGATACTTAAGAGGTGGACTGGTCTGAACTTGGCCCTGGGTTCAATTTCAATTTGGAGGGAGGAGAATAAATGGAGGTATCGGCTGGTGTGGTGTGCATGGCTGTAATCTCAGCATCCTTGGAGCTTGAGGCAGGAAGATCACAAATTGTATTGAGCCCACCCTGGGCACATTGGCAACTTAACTGAGCAATACCTTGTCTCAAAGGGAGGAGAGGCCCTGGGTTCAACCTTCAGTACCAGGAAAAAAAGGAAAAAGGAGGCATAATGGATGGGCTGAGCTGCCATCAGTGATGGCGAACCTTTTAGAGCTTTCAATGCTACAAACAGTTTGCTGTGGCATGTGTGCCGCAGGTCCCCCACCACCGTGCTAGAGAGTGGGATCATCATGGAGAGAGTGGAGAAGTCCTGATCCACAGGGGGCTTGGGAACCGGGGAAATGGGGAAGCAGTGAGTTCTGGTTTGGATAGCTGTGGTCTGGCGAGTTTCTGTAGGCACTCTCGTCCTGCACCCAGCACTCATTTCCCCCCTTCTTCTTTGCTGGCAGAGCACTGATTTTGAGGACTCCAAGCCATTCCCTGGTTCCCTATTGGTTCCCTTGTAGACAAAGATCAAACTCCTTGCCAAGGCTGAGCCCAGCCCCACTGGCCCCAGGCTCAGCCACTCAAGCATTTTTTCAATATGTGGATGTTTAATGTTTTCCCACCCTGCCCTACAACAAGACGGAGCTTTTGTTTGGCTTCCCCACAGCCTTCGACTCAAACGCCACTTCCTCAGGGCAGTGTGGTGTTTTGGGGGGCGATGACTTGATTAGTACCCGTTAGTACCTATCTCCCACGCTCTTCTGTGAGAGAACCGCGTCTGCTTGATTTTCACTGTTTCCCCTGCGTCCAGCCTTACACCTGGATGAAATAGGGATGCAAAAAATGCTTTGCAAATGAAGGAAAAAAATAACTAAAGTATATTTGAAGCAGCAGCCTTTGTATTCTTGAAAGAGCAGTATTTGTACACCCCCAGATGTCTGTGCCAAGAAAGCAGCTTGCTGTTGTAAAATGGTTTGTTCCCTCTGAAATGCAGGACAAAATTTAATTTCCAGTGTAACAGTGTTAAACTGGTGGGGCTTTAAGGGGTAATTAGGTCACAGAGAAGGATTAATACACTTCTTGCAGGACTGTATTAATCCTCTTGATTGTAGATTGTTATAAACCAGGGCCCGGTATTATGTTTTCTCCCTTACAAGCTCCCTTTCTGCCATTAGATGAAGCAACACAGTGCTTAGACAGATGCTGGCATCATACTCTTGCGCTTCCCAGCCTCTGAAAGCTAAGTAAACCTTTTGTTAATCACCTCTCTGTTGCTGGGACAAAATATCTAACACCCACAGATTACAGGAGGACGGGTTATTTTAGCCCATGGTTCCAGCCCGGGGTTGGCTGGCCCCGTGGTGGGAACAGTCTGTTAGAAGGAGGCGGTGGAGGAGGGCTGCTCAGCGTATGGCAGCCAGGAAGCGGAGAGACAGCAAGAGCGAAAGACAGACAGTCGCCCTCCGAAGGGACACCCGCTAACCCGCCTCCCACTTCTCCAGGAGGCCCCACCGACCTCCTAACAGCACAGTCAGCTATGAACCCCTTGGTGAGGTTACTGTCCCCAGATCTCATCACCTTCCACAGCGCCACCTCTCAGCTCACAGTCCTCTAGGGAGACAGTTTTGATCCAAAGCGTCACACCTCAATTTTTTGTAAATAGACACTCTTATAGTAACAGAAAAGAAGGCGCAGCTCACTCAGAAAATCAAGACTATTTATTTGAAAGGAAGTGGTGCCTCAAAGTATCATTTTTAAAGACAAATATGAAGTACTGAGAAAGAATCCAAATGACCTTTAACTTCCTCTATAAAAACTTTTTAAGTTGCTTTATGTTATATTTGCGATTTTAAATTTTTGGAACATACCTGATATTTATGTCAAAAGATTCATTTTGCACTAGATCTTTGAAGATATGTGATCTCTATGAGGATTGGAGATTCCTTGTCATGTTTTAATTAGAAGAATATGCACTGAATCCATTCTTTTGGTCTCTCTAAGGTTAATGTACGAGCTGACTCACTGATTTACTGCTAAGGCTTTAACAAAGAGAAGGGACAAGACAGTGAGGCTAACGAAGATGTGTGTGTTTCATACATCGGCACACACAGAGCCAGTGCTTTATCTTACTCCATTCGCTCCTCAATCTTTTCTGATTCCCGCATACTACATGTATCTTATTTACAATGGATTCTAACATACGTGTCACAGATTACATACATTGCTCAAGATATGAGCCAGGTAGCTATGCATTTATTTTCATATGTCTTAGAAAGTTACATTTAGCACATTAAAACCTTGATTTTATGGATAGTAATATCTAGGATGAACCAAAGTAGGCAGGTAAGTTTTTTTAAGTGAATGGATTTAAGGGAGGATATTAAATAAGTAATATTCCTTTAGCTGATAATGATCCTCAGATAATGGGAGAACTCATGGAGTTTTGAGAATTATTGAAATTGGAGAGACTGCTGTAGAGAGATGATGTGTCTTTTGTCCTTTCTCCATCCTCCGTGATGATTACAATCCTTGTCCCCTCACAAATATGCGTCCAGTTTTGGGTTATCTCATATTTTCTTCCCTCCCATATTCCCCATAGCTCCTGGCTCTGAGCAGGTGAACAGATAGATAAAGGGATCAATTTTATAGACAGACTACAGCATTTCAAAATAATGTCAGAGTAGCTGATGGACTGGGGAGATTTACCCTTAAGGAAAAGCAACCAATATACACTGTGTTACTTGTACAGGGTTGGGAGAGCACTCAATTCCTTTTATAATCAAACAGCATCTTGAACATGGCACAGTGCTACAAATAACCACCCACTCACAGTGCTCTGATGACTCTACCACTGGCACAAGAGCAGTCTCCTCTTAGAAGAACCACCATACGCCATGGCTGAAGGCATTTGGAAAGATGGTAAAAGCCTCAGGTCAAAGCTTGAGTTAGTTAGGGTGGCAGACTCAGAACAGAAAAGGGGGTGCAGTATTCACCCATAGGTAAAGAACTGCAGGTCTGCATGGGGAGGGCACTGTTCCAAGCATTGCCACCTTTCTTTCTTGGAATAGGTAGGGGCCAGGGCATCCCTATTGTATTAAGAGTTACCCACAGCAAGCAAATGCTGTTATTATTATCCCATATTCTAAAATTTCATTATGAAAATTATCAAAACTACAGAAAAATAGAGCGCAACAAATTTCCTATTCTTTTTCCTCCTGAGTTCATTGAAAAAGACCTTATCGTCACCATGACCTTTACCTCTAAGTATTTCAGTAAGTATCTGCTAAGAGCAGGGACATTCCCTTACCCACTACAGTGCCCTAGTCATATGTAAGCAAGTGTACTCTAAATTCCTAGCCTGATCCCACACAGACCAATTTAAATAGCCCTGCTTATCACACAGCAAGACAAAGGTTTCTAGCTGTTGTTACGAACTGACGTCAGTGTGCCCCCTCCGATGTATGTTGTAACCTTACTCCCCAGTGGGATGGTATTAGGGGTGGGGTGACCAGGTCAGGAGACCTCATAAATGGAATTGGTGTTTTTATTAAAGGGGACTCAGTGCTCCTTGGGAGGCTGGGCAGGCGGACTACAAGTTCAGTGCCAGATGGACAACTTAGGCCTTGTCTCAAAGACAAAAAGGGCTGGGGTAACTCAGTGGTAGAGCCCTTGCCCAGTATGAGCAAGGCCTTCGGTTCAATTTTCAGTTTGATAAATGCGTAAATAAATAAGAAGGGGCCCAGAGAGCTGCCTCCCTCTCTTCTACCAAGTGAGGACATGGCAAGAAGATGCAGCTGCTATGAAAAATAAAGAAGGAAGACAAAAAAATATATATACATATATATATATGTATCTGCGATAACTGTACTGCTAATGATGATGGTGTATTGAAAGGAACAGTTAATGCTTAAAATTTTTTATGTTCTGACCAATTCTGCATGCTTGTATCTGGTAATCTGAGCAACTGATGTGAAGGCAACAATATGCATTGGAACTACCATGGTGAATTCCTACCGTGTTGTCTAGTGAAACTCTCTTATCTCTAATGTTTTATCTAATAATTATTTTCTTATTCTCTTTAATGGTTTGAACAATCTTCCATTCTTACATCTGGTAATCTGAGCAACCTAGTGGAAGATAACAATATGTATTATAACAACCACTGTTAAATAGTATCATTTTGTCTTGAAACCCTGTATCACTTTAACTGTTCTTGCTTTGGTTTGTTTATGTTTACCATGCTGTTATGCTATTGTTCTTTTTTTTTTTCTCATTTATTACTGTCTTTAAAATAATAGTTAAAAAAAGAAGACACAGGTGTTTATGAACCAGGAAGCAGGCTTTCACCAGACACCAAATCCACTGGCACTTGAGTCTTAGATTTCCCAACCGTGGAACTGTGAGAAATTTCTATTGATTAGAAGCTGCTCAGTTGATAGCATTGTGTTATACTAGTCCAAGTAAACTCTGGCAGTTATCATTTCTCAGAACCAGGATCCAGTCAAGATTTAGCCAAACTAGGCATGGTGGTGCACATCTGTAATCCCAGCAGGCCGAGGCAGGAGGATTGCAAATTTAAGCCTAGTCTGGGCAATTTAGCAAGGCCCTGTCTCAAAAAAAATTTTTTTTAATTTTTAAAATGTAGTTCAGTATGAAGGCCCTGGGTTTAATTCCCATACAGACGGACACACACACACACACACACACACACACACACACACACACACGCGCGCGCGCATGCACAGATCTAGTCACTGCATTAGCTGATAGTTTATCACTGGTCCCTGTATTTCTTATACACTGTAAGATTTGAAGGCTTGAGCCAACATGTTCAGCAGCAGATCTTCATGGATGAAAAAATTATTATGACTCTGAGCTCTGATTTAGTAGAACTGCACCTAACAGTTATGCAAGAAACAACAATTAAACCAGGCATGGTGGTGCACACCTGTAACCCCAGCACTTGGGAGGCTGAGGCAGAAGGATTGCTGAGAGTTGGAGACCAGCCTGAGCTACAAAGTGAGTTCAAGGCCAGCCTGAACTGCATAGCGAGACCCTGTTTCAAAAAGACAACAACAGCAACAACAATCACCAGCCACCAACAACAATTAAAAACAGAATCATGCTCTGTGCTAACAAAAGTTTGTTTACCCGGCATTATACAGATAAGTAAATTGCGACGCTTTGGAGGTCCTTCCTGCTCCTCACTTGTAAGGCCGACTGTCGTTACCTAGTTGTCACCAATCTCGCTGCGTCCATAAGTCAGACTTGCTCTTATGGGCACGGCTGGGTACACAATGCTCGCTAGTGAAGTAGAAGCCAGTTTAAAAGCGCTGACCCTGGTTCAGCAGACGGTAGGTCGCGGGGTGAAGTTGCTGTGCTAACCGTGACGGGAACAGCCGGGACTCAGACAGACATTTATGCATTCCGCAGCCAGACCTCTGCTACATCCTGCCCGTGGTCAAGCTCCGTCCCTGGTAATTGGCATGCTGTGAACTCTTTAAGAATGTCCACACCTTTTTCCTCTCTGACGTGCAAAATACAAACTATTCCTTCATGTGTCCAAAAACAGGAAATAAGAACTGGTTGGTAGAATTTTGTGTGTGTATTTATACTAGGCATTGAACACAGGGCTTTAGTACTGAACCGTATCTCCATCTTATATATTTTATTTCGAGACAGGGTCTTACTAAATCACTTAAGTTGCCCAGGCTGGGCTCAAACTTGCTATCGCCCCTCCTCAGCCTCCTAGAGGGCTGGGACTCCAGAGGTGCTACTGTACCTAGCTTTGAAGGAACTAAAGCAACACTGAGTCCCCACCTTACCCCGGAACGGCCATCATCAAGAAAAGAATTGCTATGTACATGTACCGACTCCACACAAATGTAATTTGGATTTTCCCCAGTAATAGGCAGCGGCTTCTTCTGACACTATTTATAGGGCCCTCCCTTGCGATTGACCTGTAACCGGCAAAGCTTCTCCTACTGGCCTGAGCTCCAAGCCTGCGAAGGTGTTGGGTGAGTTTAACCTGAGTGAATGCACCCTGGCTTCTCCTGGTGGGTGGTTGAGTGCCCTCTGGTGGACAGCAGGAAGAATGCAAGCAGCGAAGCAGAAATTAATTTGCCCAAGTGTATCTCAAGGAATATTATATGTACACTTAACAACAAATCCATGCTCTTAAAAAAATCCTGAGCTGACATTTAAATCTATGAAAAAAATCATGCCTAAAAAAGTCTTTTCCTTTTTTAAAACACAGCACTTAATCCTCTCAAGCAGGATAACTCTTCACTGAGGGCTCAAGCACAGAGATGAAGGGTGGATTCAAAAGAAATATTTTCATTGGGCTTTTCATCCGAGATGCCCTAAACGTCTATTAGCATTCTCTCATAAGCTTTCCCCAGGACGGCCCCTTTAGCCCCCGAACCTCCCTACACACAACCACAGATTCCTCCTCCTCCCATCAAAGTTAAATTCTCCTGGGATCTTCATTCTCCAAATACTGAATATCAGTGCCCTTGAACCCTTCCACTCCCACCAGGGCCGGAAGCCAGAAGTTAAAGGGATGCTGCAGTAGTGTGGAGCTGCCAGCGTTGGCCCAGAGGATAGCGAGGAATTTGTCCCCCAAGGAGAGGGAGTGAGTGTGTGTGTGTAAGCTGAGGTGGTGGGGAAGGCGGGAGTGACCGGGGGACGGCTGCATCCCTCCCTGTGCCTTCACGCCGTGCCCTATGGGAGCACAGTCGCACTGCCTGGAGGAGGCCAGCCCCGTGTGTGCCTGCGGGAGCGAGGGTCAGGCTCAGACACTGGGTGCGGTGCTCTGGCCACGGTTGTGCAGGTGGAATTGTGGCACAGAGATGTCACCTGGAGGTGCGGCACCCTACACGTACAAGTCACGGTCATGTAAGAGGCCATCACCTCAGGGTCACGTGACCTGGTTTGCTTTCATCACCAGGGGCTAGGGCCGCACCGGTCGCACTGGCTTGGTGGTATCAGCAGACTCGGGGGGAAATCCACTTAAACGGGGAGCTGAGCCCTCTGGGAAGTTCCTGGTCCTGGGAGAAACCCTCACCACTGAGCCATCGTCCACCCACAGCCTCACGGTGGCTATCAGGGCCACTGGGGTCTTTGGACCCTGCACCCCATAGTGGCAGTATAGAAGGATGCTCCACTTAGCCTCTGTCCTGCTTCCCCCCTGCAGCCAGCTGTACCAGCATCCACTTGTCCAGAAACGCAGGCTGATTAGAGGCCATGTCCCTCTTGCTTGCTGACCAGAAATACCACTCAGCAGCAGATACAGTGCCACCCAGGAGCGAAGGGTCCCAGGGGGAAAGCCAATCCCCACGTCATTCATATGCTCCACGGCACTGCCCTGCTTCAGCCCGGTGACCTCCGACTCTGCTCACAACCCACTTCCCCTCAAGCCGCCAGTCAGGTCATGGCACTGCCTGTCATCCCCCTCCTTCTAGGTTTCCGTCTCACGTGGACCAAAGACCCATGAGGTCCCACGAACTCTAGCCACATCCCCTGGCCACCTGTCCCCAGGTCCCTTTCTGACCCCATCCCCTCACGCTCTTCCCCTCCAGCCACCATGGCCTCGGCTGGTCCTAGAACATTCCCAGGCAGTTCCAGCCCCAGGGCCTTTGTACTTGTTCCCACTGCTTGGAAAGAATTTCTCTCGGATATCAGCTCAGTTCACTCTCTTGAGCCCTCCAGGGTTTTGCTTGAAGGCCACCTAACCTGTGAGCTTTCTTATCCTCTCCATTCAGAAGAGCCTCTCCCCTCCCCACCCTCCTGTCCTAGGGCTCACCACCCTCAAATACTCTGCACAGCCATGGTTGATTAGGACCTGTCTCCCCCATCAGGCCCATCCACAAACTGTATGAAGCCAGAGAAGGCAGGGACGTTAAATCATACTTCTGGACACTTCCACAACCCCCATGGCATTGCTACAGCACCCGTCTCTCTACTGTCACCGTTGTACAGATTCCCATTCCTGGAGTAGGCAGTAGGGTACCTGCTTTCAGTATTCATTCAAGGAGCACCTAAGAGGCATGGTGCATACTAGGCACACGTTACGGGTTGGACTGTACCCCATTCCAAACTGATAGGATGAAGCCCTGCACACACACCCCCCAGTGCCTCAGAGTGCAATTGTATTTGGAGACAGAGCTCAGTGCCGTCTGATGGGAGGGTCCATCCGACTGATGTCTTTGTAAGAGGAGGAAATGACCCCCGGGCTCCGAATTCACCAAAGGACCACCACGTAAAGACCGCAAAGTGCCTTCACCTTGGACCGCAGGCTCCAGGACCAGGGGAAAATAGGTTTCTGTTGGTTCAGCCTCAGTGTGCGCTACTTGTGACACTGCACCAGGCAACATCACATGGCCCATAAGTGCTCAGCTGACGGAAAGATGCCTTTGGGAGCCCGGAGGTGGCTGCTTCGCCGCCGGCTGCTGCAGACTGGCCTCATTGTGCCCCTTGCCGTCCAGCACCACACAGACGAGGAAGCTGAGGCTCAGACAAGGAGGCTGCCTGGAAGTAGAAGCAGAAATGGAATCTGGTTTGTTTTCCCCTCTCAAAGTGTGCCCCGCCAAAACCTCCCCTGGGATCCACGTTCCCTCCCTTGCTCTTTGTCTCAGTAGTTCAGACCAGACCAACTCTGCCCCACCCAGACCCCCACCTCCGAGTGAATCCCAGGACTGACAAGTCAGAGTGGTCCATCCCTTCTCACCCCTCGGGCCCACACTGGTCTGAGCAGTGTCGTGATGCAAACGACACATGGCCTTTGATTTACTGCCAGGTTTTGTCCCAATAAGGAAATGAAAACACCATAGACGGGAAATGCAGTCCATGCACCCAAGCTCCCGAGCATCCCAGCTCAGCAGCTCAGCCCGAGGTGGACCCAGCTCTTCCCCATGGGCGCAAGGCTGGCTGGGAGGTGTGGTTAATCCCACCGCCCAGCACTGCAGAGAGGACTGCACTGCACATCGCTAGCCTGGGCAAAGATCAAAATTCAGATATTGTTTCTACTGAATGTATTTTGTCTTCATACTATCATGTGTTTTTTTGTTTGTTTGTTTGTTTGCTTTTGTGTTTTTTTGAGATAGGGTCTCACTGTGTAGCCCAGGCTGGCCTCAAACTCATGGTGGTCCTCCTGCCTCAGCCTCCCTAGTGCTGGGATTACAGGTATGCACCACCGCACTCAGCCTCATACAATCTTTAAGTGGAAAAAAAATGTAAGTTGAATCATTGTTAAGTTGGGGACCATTATAAAGAACCTCCATCGTGCAGTTCTGGACTTTGGCAAAGTCCCAGGATCAGGGAGTTCCTGTTCCTAAGCCGAGAGGATGTTTGCCTCCACCACCCCCTCAGCCCTCGTGCCTTTGAGGTGTACAGTCCCAGCGCCCAGCAAGGGGTCTGCGGGCCTAGTGCGGGCCTCCACTCAGAGCAGAGCAGTTGTCTACAGCTGGCTGTGCGGGAAGGCCGGGGGGGGGGCACCCAGCACACGACCTGGCACCCTTCACAGGAGCTACAGAAATGTGAGACGAGTGACGGTCAAGGCAGTCTCTCCGTGGGTAAAAATGGGCCCCAGCAGCTTGACCCCAGCATCCCCACTAACTCTCTGAGCAGTCCTTGCCGATTGCACATTTACCGAATTCTCTAAGTGGGGGGCGCGAGCGAGCTGCGTACAGAGCCCCGCAGACAATGTGACGGTGTGACCCAGGCAGGTGGATCCAAAACTGTCTGGCTCTGTGGTCACGTGGCTTCTAAAACAACACAGACCAGAGAACAAGTATGAAATAGCCCTTGGGCTGTCAATTTGCTTCCCCTGCCTCTAGATAGTGCCCCTCTGCACCACAAGCAGGAGCTCGCAGGAGGGAATCCGGGCAGTGGATCAGCCTCCCACCCGCATGCATTTGCACAGTGGCACCAAGGAAACAGAAATAGAAAACCTGGCTTTTAATGTCACGGATGAATACACAAAGAATGGGTATCGTATTTTGACTCAAAACGCTTGTGCTGTTGTCAAAGAGAAGTGACAAACGCCAGAGGAAGCAGTTGCTGCCTCAGCCCCTCCTTGGACAGGCCCAGGTACCCGTCAAGGCTCAGGTGGTGGCTCCGGCCACTTCCTAACCTGATGAGTGGGTTTTGTACAGGTGAAAAACACACGGCCGGAGAGAGGCATCTCTTCAATTCTAAAAACACAATCCCCCACCCTCCTCTTGGTTTGGCTGCGTGACCCCCAAAGTTATCCCTGACCCCTCTCTCCCTTATTCAGGAGAAGAACCACCTTTTATTTACTGTTTAGCATTCTGAAAACAAAACCCCGGGCAAAGCGCCACTGTCAGTATTTAAAACACAATTTATAAAAATGAGAGAACAGCTGCTGAAGAAGGAGAGGACCTGTCAGTCAGTGGTGGCCTCTGTGTATTTGTAGGCAACACCTACCCCGGATCTGAGGGAGAATCTCCGTGCCCTCAGAGCCGCACTGCAGGGAGTTAATGGGAGGGTGAGGGCCCCTGGGGGAAACTTCAGTGTCCCGGGGGGCCTCTGCCTGCATCCAACTCAGCTCTTATCTCCGCTTTTGCATGGGACATGGCTGCAGGCTGTGGAAGAGAGCTGGAAGATGGATGTAAGCATAGGTTCATCTGTAACAGCAGACTCCTCCGTGATGCCTGGTCTGGCTTAAAAGCCACAGGGATGGCGTGAAGAGTCTCTAGTGACAGCAAATCCTTCTGGATGTCCCTTCCCTTCTGCAAATTACTCAAGAACTAAACAGCAGAAGAAAAGAGAGAGACATGGATTAAAGGAGCAGCCCTGTTGGAAATAAGATAATTTGAGATGCCACACATTTTGTCCCCTCACCCCACCACTCCCAGCACACCAAGGAGGAAATCACAATCCATGTCTGCAGGATTTGGGGTGATCTGAGCCAGGGTGACAAATTATTAACAGTGTAGTTTGGACCCATAGAAGCACAGGGAGAAGAGGAACAGAGGCATGATGTTACTCAGCTTTCTGTTGCTGTGACAAAACACCTGAGAAAATCAGGTTAAAACAAAGAAAGGTTGTTCTGGCTCCTGGTTTCACAGGTTGTATTCCATGGTTGCTTCCAGGCCTGCAGTGAGGCAGTGCTCTGTGGCAAAGGCACATAGCAGATGGAAGTTGCTCAACTCCTGGCAGTCGGTGGAGGGGGCAGGCGGGGAGGGATCCCTTTAAGCCCCCACCCCCACCCCACCAGCAACTGGCTTTCTACAACCAGGCACCACCTTCCCACAGCCCAGGAAGCCATGAATCCATCAACTGCTTCATCTGCTGATGACATCAAAGGCCCCATCTCTGAACACTGCTGTGCTGGAGACCAAGCAGCCAGGACCTGAGCGCTGTGAGGGCGTTTCAGATCCAAACCACAGCAGCATCCACCCCTGAGCCGTGTGCCTAGCTGACCCCACAGGCTGGCCTCACACTGTGACTCCACCACGCTCGTTCCCTCCATGCCCAGCAGCTTCCTGTACACCTGGAGGCTGTGGCCTCCCACACCCGGGTGCCTGGGAGAGCTGGGGTCCTGCTCAGGTTCCTCCATAGTAACACCCTTTACGAGCCCACATTTTGTTGCTTCCATCCTCTGTGTGTTTACATAGTTTTTCAGACGTTCTCCTCGCTCGGTGTCTCCCTACCGACCCGGGGCCCCAGCAACCACAGAAGAGCCTTCCCACAAGCCCGCTGGCTGGAGCACCTCCGAGAAAGGTCTTTGCCTCCACAACTTCAAATGGTTCTGCTCTTGAGAAACAAAGAGGACCCCAGGCTACAGGAAGGGGAATTACAGGCAAGAAGGTGACCGCAATCACTGTCTTGCTGTGGTTGTCTCAGTGAGCTGGGACTGGGTCCCTTTAGTTTCAGGAAAAATCTCGAGGTTCCAGACTCGGAAGGGGGAGATTTGTCCAGATTCGCTCGTCCCTTCCAACTCTGTCCACGTTAGTTCTAAAGATCTAACGTTAGAAAGGATTTTAAAGACAATCAATGCAATCCTGAGATTTTGCAGAAGAATGAAAGGTCTAGGAAAAGGAAGAGAGGTGTTGACAGTTCCTGGATAACTAGCTGCTGGGGGGGGGTATGAGTGTGCAATGTGTGTGTGCATGGGCGTGTGCAGGGCTAGGCAGTGAGAGAGGCACACAGAGAATGTCTCTCTCCTTTTGCTGAGCACCCCAGGGATTGTCTCGATTTTACAGGTGGAACTGAAGATAAATGGATTAGCCAGGTAAATAAACTGGTATTAAAAACTTTCTGAAAAATCAATTTGAGAGAGGAGATCTGGGAAAATAAAATATGATCAGCTGTGTCGGATAGCTTGAATAAATCGATGCCTGCAAGTCTAGTAAACAGTTTCTGATCTATAGCTCGGACCCGTGGTAGTTACCTCAGTAATTGGACCGTGGGATGAGGCCAAGCCAGAATGAAAAGCATTAAAAATGCTGTTTCTTCAAGTGAAAATTAATTTATTTGCTGACCAACAAAGACCAAAGTAATTTCAGAATTTTAAGGCTGGTGAGACATGGTAAAATGGTGTGCACTTTTCACACACAAACACACACACACACACACTTAAATTAGACATGGAAATGAAAAAGAGACGGACCTGCCTGTCCTGTGCATGGTACGCTGGCCACAGAGACGATGGCAAAGGGTTAGAGGAGCCAGGCTTCCCAGCCTCCTATTTCAGCCGCAAAAGGAAGGGGGAGGGGCAGGTTCCGGTGCCCTGTGACGCAGAGCCGGTGCCCGCACAGCTGGCCGGAGGGGAAGAAAACCACGGGGCAAGGCAGAAAGGTTTTCTTTTCTGCTCTCTGCTTTCTCCTCTCAGCAGTGTGAGAAGCTAAAGAGAAGTAGCCCCTGGCACTGGAATAAATCAGCCTCCACAAAAGATCAAATTCATTGTTGAACTAAAAGTAAGACCTAAGGCTGTGGTATGCACCTTAGCAGAAAAGGCAGGCAGGATGTGAAAGGAAATGACGTTGCTCTCCGCTGACGGTGACGAAGACACCTGAGGAACGGAGGGACTCAAGAAGGTCGCCTTTTAATGATCTGGGGATACAACATGCCTCGAAAATGTGCTAAGAAAATAATAATTACAATGACGATGAAAGGAATCATCACTAGAGACGTAGGTCCCTGTACAACTCTCTAAGGAGCCTTGCCCGCTGGGGGAGCAGCTCAGCCCTGGAGTATGTGCTTAGCATGTGCGAGGCCCTGGATTGGATCTGCGGCATCCCCCCAGCCCCAAACCCCCTCACGTCAGCCAGGAGGATGGAACAGCGCCCGATTGTAGCTGCTGAACTGAATGGACCAATAGCCCAGAGCGTGGACTGTTGCTGGGGACGAGTCCTCCTTTTTGAGTGAGTATCGCTCCTCCACTTGTGTTTCAAAGGCAACAGCGTTAGGGAATCGCCCACTTGTACTAAAGCCTTCGCGAGCAAGAAGAGTATGGGGCATTGAAAGAGGCTGTGTGGAGGAAGGGGCACCAACCACAAAAGGTGGCTGAAGCGACCCCTCGGCTCAGAGTCCACTGCTGGATGCAGCCTCACCTGTAGGAGGAGAAGCAAACTAGAACTGCAACATTCAAAGCACCCAGGTAGACAAGACAAAGAAAAATTGGTTAGAAAATGTATGAAAACAAGCACATTTAAATTGCAGGAACTGAAATTGTATCTCCTTGGTGGTATCTATTAAAAATTAAAATGCACACGCTGGTTGACCAAACAATTCTACTTCTAGCAATGTAGCTAGCAGATTTACATGCGGAGAGGTGTACATGGTCATTAACTACAGCAAAAGATTGGAAGCAATGTAAATGTCCCTCGGTGAGGGGGTGACTAGGAGAATTTCAGCACATTCTGAGCACGAAATATGGGAAAAAGAGAGTAAAGTTTTCCATGGGCTAATATGGAACGGTCTTCGAGGTAAGTGAAACAGGCCAGGCGTGGTGGTGCGTTCTGGAAGCCTCGGGTAGGAAGATCACAAATTCAAGCCCAGACTGGATAACTTAGCGACCTAGCAAGAACCTGTCTCAAAATGAAAATAAACAAGGACTGCAGATGTAGCTCAGTGTGAAGGCCCTTGTGTTCTGTCCCCAGCACTGAAAAAAGGAAGTTAAATGAACAGTCTGGCTATGCTACCATTTGTCCATTTGTGCAGAAGCCAGTGAAGGGACAAGCATTTGCTCACACACATGCCCACACTCATAGTTAAGGAGCAGATAATAATTCAGTCGATGATGGCCCACACGCACATGGCAGCCCGTGCGATTACAACATAGGTGAAAACTTCCTCTTGCCTAGTGATATCATAGTCACTGCGACACTGCAGCACAACACCTTGTTCCCGGGTTGTGGAGACCTGTATGAACAGCCCCCTGAGCTGCCACTCCCATAAAAGTATAGCGCATGCAATTACGTCCACAATGTAATGCTTGCTAATGATAGTAAATGACTATGCTGCCGTTTATGTATCTACTGTACCATGCTTTTTATTGTTTTAGGGTGTACTTATCTAAAAATAGTTTTCTGGGAAACAGCTAATCCTGCTGTGTTACACTAACAACAGCCTCACATCGCTCAGGTTCCCTGTGTACCTTGATTATATAGAGGCCGCAGCAAGTGCCTGCCCTAGACCACCCAGGTTTGTGTAGGTGCACGCTAGGACTGCCCACAGTGGTGAATCGCCTAGTGATGCCTTTCTCAGAGTGCGTCCCAGTCGTCCGGCGGGGTGTGAGTACAGACCAGAAACTGGAGGCCTGGCTGACCCTGGGTAAGGAGTCAGGTGGTTGAGGCACAAGAAGAAAAGGTTAATTACTGTTCCGTTTGGTTTTGAGCAGAATTTTAGATCCCTTAACATGCTGGTGCCAGTGTGGCACCAGCATGTTAAGGGATCTAAAATTCTGTATTTTAGTTTAGTTGTATAAATAAGTCAGGAGGACATTTATCCTCCTCCCAGAACATCAGGTGAGCCCACTGTGGTGGCACATACCTGTAATTCCAGCTACTCGGGAGGCTGAGGCAGGAGGATCACAAATTTGAGGCCAGCCTGAGCAACTTGGTGAGAGCCTCTCTCAAAATAAAGTCAGAGAAAGGGCTGAGGGCATAGTCTGTGGGGCCACACTTCCCCAGTATGCACGAGGCCCCAGGTCCAAGCCCCAAGGGCACAACAGCATCAGCAGCTGGATGGGGCGCACCTTCTAACCCTGGTGACTCTGGCCTGCTGCTCCCTGCATTGCTGAGGTCTCCATGTCACTGGCCTTGGTGTTGGTGACCCCAGGGCTCAGGGGCGTCTTTCCTGTCTGCCTGAACACACAGACTGCACACCGATGGCCCTCAACCCCATGGTGGCTGAGACTTCCCACCAGAGCCCCAGCTTCCGTCACCAGCTGCTCACCCTGGCCTCCTCCCTCAGACGCCTCATCTCAGAGCCACGGCCTCAGCTCCTGGGTTTGAAACAGCAGTGCAACCCTTCCGGGTGCTCCGGTGCCTAACCTTGGAGCCATCGTCTCAGACTACATTGAAGTTGCCAGCCCGACCTTCAGCTACCTCCAGAGCCCAACTAGGCTCAGCACCTCGCTTGCTGCATCCTGGTCTACCCAGCTCTTGTTACTCACCCAGGTGCCGTTGCCTCTTGGTTGGTCTCACATTTGTTGTGCAAACTTGGTCCATTTGACTCTGTGAAAACCTAATCTGGAGCATGGAAATCTTCTGTTCAGACTCCTGGCACTGCCTGTCTCACGGTAAAACCCAAAGCTGCAATTCTTGGGATGTCCCCCAAAGTCCCATATGACCCCTTCTTCCCTTCTGTGGTTCTGGCCACAGCGGTCTCCATGTTCTTCCTTGAATATGCTAAGCACAAGGCCTTTCTACCCGCCATCCCCAATGCCTTCCAGACAGCTGTGTGGCTCACTTCCGCAGTTCCCGCTCTCCCTGCTCACAACCCTCCCTGGCTCTGCGCTCCTCCACCCACACTTCTCTTTCCCTGCTTTCCCATAGCCTATCTCACCATCGAGCAAACTATGCTTATTTACCTTGTGCAGCACCATCTCCCCACGTGAAAGTGCGGCATGAGGCAGGGGAGCTTACGTGTATCGTTCATGGCTGCTCCCTCCACAGGGGACAGTGTGCACAGTGGGAACTCAATAAATCCTTTCGGAATGCACCAGGCATCCACAGGGAGGCTCTCCGTGCCGTGGCCCTTCGTGCTGTGTGCTCGGTTGCTTTCCGCACACTGGAGTCTCCAGTTACGGCCTCCAGCTGGCCGCACCCTTCCATTCCCAGCTCCTGCCCTCTCTTGGTGCTGCACTGAGGTTGCCCTAGAACTGGCCTAGAAATGGCACAGAGCTGGAATGCAGGCAGCTACAACTAGGTAAGGAACAGGCCCAGCCCAAGGGACAACTGCTGGTTCTAGCTGGTGCCAGGGACAGACATGTGTTACTGCTGCCTGGACTTTTGCCTTTTCGAGGGAGGTTAGGAGCTGCTCTTGGCTTTTGTTTTTAAAAGCTGACTTCTTTTTTTTTTTTTTTTTTTTACTTTTTGAGACAGGGTCTTGCTATACAGTTCAGGCTGGCTTTGAGCTTACTTTGTAGCCCAGGTTGGCCTCGAACTTGCAACGATCCTCCTGCCTCAGCCTCCCAAGTGCTGGGATTACAGGTGTGAGCCACCACGCCTTGCCCAGACTTCCTTTTATTTTTCCACATCAGATGGGTAATGTGCCAACGTGGTAACAAGGTCTGAGGGAGGCACATCTCATGCAGATGGCATGAACACCTAATCATCATGTTCATGGACGGCAGACTTCCTAACTTTTAAAAGCCAAAGAACTAAAAATGTTTTCAAACACTGAGGTCCTAAATTAACTACATCTTAAGGCAGTGGTAGTGAACCTGTGGCTGCAGTGCTGCAGTGGGCACGCAGAGCCCTCTCTGTCAGCACACGAGTGAAGTTGCCCCAGCAATGCCCCAGCAGCTAAGTGTCAGATAATAGCACACAAAGGCAAGTCCAATGCAATCTTTCACCTTTCAATAAAAAGCTGTTCTGTATCATCGAAGACTCTGCTATTGTGTTTTTCTTTTAAGGCAAAGGATGTTAATGTAGGAGTCATTTTTTTTCAAAACTAAAACATCATTATTCAGGTTTCCTCGTGGTGTTGGCTCTTTGCAAACAATAAGTGAGTTTAGTGTTGCAGTTTGGGTGCTCAGTTCTACAAGGTTTGCCATCACTGCTCTAAGGTCACTACTTTGTGACCTCTGTATAATTTTGAGAGGAGACATCCATGGGGTAAAATCTACCCAGAGTTGAAATAGGGCAGGAAAAGTCAGCCCTCCTCTCCCGCTGCTTTCTAAGGAAGGCGGATCCTGAACCTGAAGAACCTTGCCTACAGAGCCTCGGTTTTCTGTGACGCGGCCTTCAGGGCTCTTTCCTCTGCTCATAGACAGTGGCAAGAGTGCGTGTGGGTGCGGGAGCTTGGGAGCCACGGTGAGCCCTAGTGGGTCTGCAAGAAGCAGAACCAGGGGTGCAGATTCAGAGGCACGTGGAAGACAGGCCGGGGGCACAGCAGAAGAGAAAGATTAAAAGTGAAAGGGTTCAATGGGAATTTCAAAAATTGATTGACTGATTGATTGAGTGTGTGGTCTGGGGATTGAACCCGGGCCTTTGCACTGAGCTACGTCCTCAGCCCTTTTTTATTTTTCATTTTGTGTCAGGGTTTCTCTAAATTCCCCAGGCTGGGTTCAAATTTCTAATCCTTCTACCTCAGCCTCTAGAGCGTTGAAGTTAGAGATATGCACCACCATGCACAGCATGATGGAGATTCTAATTCACCCAAAATTGTGCGGCGTTCAGGGCAGATCCCTGTCAGTCTGTATACGAAACCGTCAGTAAAATACACAGCTGATGCAACGTGGTCACTGTGGGATTCATTCTGGGAGCAGGTTGAAGGGGGAGAGGTGACAACTGACTCGTGAGTCCCTAAAGCAAAATTATTGTTAAACATGGATCAAATGTTGGCAGCAAGGGACCCAGCAATTCTACCTCTAGATAAGCGATCAAAAGAATTGACCACAGGTGTTCAAACACAAACTTGTACACGAAGAATGTCTGTCTGTGGCAGCCCTAGTTCACCAGCAAAGGCGGAAGCCACCCAAACGCCTGTGAATGAACGGAAGGGTAAATGAAGCGTGCGGATTCCGGCGATAGGCCACTGTGGGTCCACAGAAAGGAACCAGGTTCTGATCCGGGCTGCCCCGGAGAACCTCAGGCTAAGGGGAAGAAGCTGGTCTCAAAAGGCCGAACAGAACTTGAGTTCTCTGAGTTGTCCAGAGTAGGCAAGGCTATTGGAACAGAAAGTAAGTTAATGGTCTGCTACAGCAGAGGGGCCCAGGAGCTGAGCTTAGCTAAAGGTCTGAGAGTACCTGAGGCCATGAAAAGCATTTCCAAATCGACCACAGTGATGACGGTTGTGCAGCTCGGAATATACAAAAATCCACTGACTTGTACATTTTTTATTTTTTATTAGTCTATGTTTGCTCTGGGGAATTGATTACACGGGAGGGTCGTACGTGAGTCACATCTCAGGAGAGCTACTCAGGCATTTGGAGGTTGCTGGATTCCCCCAGAACCCCCTCCCGAGCCGCACGCAGGCATGAAGAGGGCCTGCACTGCGAGCTCCTCTGAGTGACCCCTGCCCCAGCTCCGGAAACCTGGGCAAAGGCCAGCAAGCAGCCACTTTGCTGTACCAAAGCAAGGGAGGGACAGAGGAGCAAAGAAGCCACCAGCTCCCTGCCACAGGGCCAGGGAGACCCTGGCAGGCATTCCCAGCCACAGCACACCTTCCGTGGCACTCTTTATCAACTCAAGCTGATGTCCAAGACAGTGTGTGTGGGTTAGCATTAAGACTTTTCTTTTTTGGGTGGCATTTGGGATGGAACCCAGGG